AGAGTTATATGATCCTAGCAATACTGTCAAAAATATAAATAATACTTCAAAAGTTTTAGATTAATAAATGAAAAACAAGAGAAAACAGAACTCAAGCAATCAAAATTGAAGGCTAATCTCATGCTGGAAACATTTATTATTATAATTTCAACAGATCAAATCTTTGTCCTCCATCATTAGTTAAAAGAACAGCTAATTTAGATTTTGTCAGCTTCTCTGATGCTATTAATATTAATTGCAATGAATTCCACTCCTGGAAATGTTTATATAAATGTGAGTGTTTCTACTTTTCACATCCTTTACATTGAATCATCTTAGAAAATAAAATCTAGGTCATATACTAACTGATTGATTACAACTCAGCAGCAGTGGTACAAACTGATTCTAGATTACTTTCAAGCTTTTTTTTTTTTTTTTTTTAACTAAAGGTACAAACTATTTTCATTCTCTGTGTTACTTCATCTATCATTTCTTGACTCATGATAATACTGATATCATGATATCAGTCATAATGATAACTGCAGAAAAGATACAGAGAGGTTACTATGTATGAGGCACCTTTTACATGTATTTACTCAATAAACCTTTACAACCCTTTGAGGTAAATACCAAAAGTATCCTCATATAACAGACAAGGAAACCGAGGCACAGAAAGTTAACTTTCCGAAGGACACAAACAAAAAGTGGCAGAGCCAAAATTCAGAGAGGAGTTTGCTCTTAACTAATACATTACAATGAATGATCTTCTTGATGTTAATAAAACATTTTATGTAATTCACTCATGTAAGTGAAGGGGAAGGTGAGAAGAGAAAGATACGAAACTCAGAAAGGTTAGGTAAATTGTCCAAGGTCATTGGCTCTAAAGCCAATCAATATACACTTTGTGCTACTTTACCAATTTTATAAAGGTCCATGGGTATTGGGAGGCTTTAAGAACATATAAAAACCTTTGCAACTATCAAAAGACCAGAATGAATAATTATTAGGTATTCCAATTATTTTGGGCTTCACTCTTTTAAATAAAATGAGGTCCCAGATTTGAAAAAGGAAAGACAATGCCCTTGTCTTTGACGCAAGTAAATGAAGGCAATCTCACTCAATCATAAGGCTTTAATAATTACCAAATCCATTTTTTTTTTTGCACCCTCTATCAACCTGAAGATAACCAAATCTAATATATACAGTTCAGTCTTGACCTTAAGTCTCTCTGATCTAGGTAACTTTCTCCTTCCCTCTTGGAATTCTCTTCTGTTGTGATTACCATTCTCCACTAATTTTTTACATCAGAAATCACAGTATCTTCTCCTCCTCCTCCTTTTTTTTTTTTTTTTTTAAAGACAGGGTCTTGCTTTGTCACCCAGGCTGGAGTGCAGTGGTGCCATCATAGCTCACTGCAACCTCGAACTCCTGGGCTCAGCCTCTCTAGTAGCTGGGACTACAGGTGTGTGCTACCACGCTTCGCTAATTTTTAAATTTTTTGTAGAGATGGGGTCTTGCTGTGTTGCCCAGGCTGGTCTCAAACTCCTGGCCTCAAGGAATACTCCTGCCTCAACCTTCCAAAGTGCTGGGATTACAGATGTGAGCCACTGCAACCCAGCCAGTATCTTCATCTTATTCCTCCTATACCTAAAGGGCTGGTTTTTCCACAGCTCTTTTAATACTATGTACACATTTTTTCTATGATTCCATCAACCTTCATAATTGCCTAAAAACCCAGGAATTACCTAGATATCTCTTCCTATCATTAATCAAATGCAACAGGCCACTAGATCCTGTCCATCCACCTATTTATTTACCAAATCATCTTCTCTTTTCTATCCCCACAATCATAGTTCAGCCCTTACCAATCCTCAACAGGACTGTTGCAATATTCTTCTAACCAGTATTACTCTCTCTATTCTTATTCATTCTAATTTTTCCTCCCCAAGTTTCAGCATGAGCTTTCTTAAAACAAACCTGGAAATGTCACTTTTCTGCTTAAACCTTCTGTGATTTCACATAGCCGACAGAAGACTTATTGGAAGGTATTGGGCTATTCACACTAGAATCTCTAAAGTGCTCGTTAAAATTTTGGGGTGAGGCTCAGGAAACTACTTTCCTAATTTCCCAAGTGACAAATAATCAAACCCTGGGAACCACTAAGCTATAGGATTTAAGGCCAAACTTCTGGAAACTTAATGTGAGGTTGTTTACCGATCTGGTCTCTGTTAATCTTTCTGGCCTCAAAATTCACTATTACCCACACATACGACTTAAGCTGCAGTGACTAAGGCATTACTTATAGTTCTCAAACACAGCTTATTGATTTTTCTTCCGTGTTTCTGAGCTTTTCAAATGCTATTCATTTTCTACAACTGACATTCTCTCCTTTATAAGCCTATGAATGCATTCTCCCAAATTCACTGTGATCACAAAGGTACAAGGGGTCTCTGCTCGGCTCCCACAGTGTTCTGTGCGTATCAAGTCTAGCACTTGTAATAGGTCTGTTTTCCTGTCACTAGATTGTAAGCCCTCTGAAAGTAAAAACTGACTTACTCATCTTTTAATCTTAAATATATGCTAGAGTAAGTATTTACATGACAAAAGATTTTGGAATGAATGATCAAGAAGAAAAAAGGCAAAAACAACTACCCCAGAAATAATGAAGAATTGGTAGAGATGCACTAGTATTCCTTGTGTTGAGGTCTTGATATTCTATACTCTGCACTGATCACATTAACCAATCTTACAAACATGACTGAATTTTATTGTTTGATACTGAAATTATATAATATTTATTACTCAAAGACCTGAAAAATGTTTTTTATAACTCACAAAATTTATAGAGTTTCTAACATAATACGCTCTTTCTCAAACTTTAAAAGATAATGAACAATTGTTAGAAGCATACGCTTAACACTCAGTCCATATTCTTCAAATACATTCCTGTGAAAAACCGTCAAAACACTAGAAGTGATTTATCGAATTTATGCTCAGGATGTTGAATAATTTCACTTAGACTTTTAGCCAAACTTTTGGCTCCTCCTTAGTGATTAAAAACATGAATGGCAGTTCAGGGCAACCTTCAATAATGCGGTTGGTATACATGACAAAAAATTTTTTTTTCTTAACATTACTATTGACAGTTTAAAATCAGATAAAATGTAATAAAAATATTGTTCTAATGGACAGTTTCAGAGTCAAAATGACAGCAGTCAATGTGCATGTCGACATTATGTGGACAGCCTTCGTGCACAGCTCATAAGCTCTAAGGAGGAGCTTACCCTGTTGGCCCTGGGGCGTCTGTGAGATGATAAACTGTGCTGGCTGCAGGTTGGTAGTTGGATGCACCAACACGAACTGTTGCAGGTTGAGATTCTGCTGTTGAAGCTGTTGCAGCTGTTGAAGATCCTGAAAAATCAGAATTAAAATACGGACTGCATTGGAGATTATAAAATAAAGGTCACTTAATCATAAGGCTTCCAGCTAATGACTTCTGTCACTTCCAAATAAAGAAGAATATATACTTAGCATTCTTTCAAATTGCCAAAAAGGGTGTGCTCTGGGTGTGTTTCACAAAGCATGTGAAGAAACCTGGAGCCACTGCAAGAACTCACTATTTTTGTGCAATGACACATATTGTGTCATGATTTATGCTAAGCCTAATTTCAATAGTTATTTAAAATTCCCTCAGAACAAATGGTTATAGTTCTGTTTTTTAGCATATATGAACCAATATGGGTTTTAAAAATCAAGTGAGAGGCTGGGCGCAGTGGCTCACGCCTGTGATCCTAGCACTCTGGGAGGCAGAGGCGGGCAGATTATCTGAGCTCAGGAGTTCGAGACCGGCCTGAGCAAGAGCGAGACCCCATCTCTACTAAAAAAAAAAAAATGGAAAGAAATTATCTGGACAACTAAAATTATATAGAAAAAATTAGCTGGGCATGGTGGCGCATGCCTGTAGTCCCAGCTACTCGGGAGGCTGAGGCAGGGGGACCCCTTGAGCCCAAGAGTTTGAGGTTGCCGTGAGCTAGGCTAACGCCACGGCACTCACTCTAGCCAGGGCAACAGAGTGAGACTCTGTCTCAAAAAAAAAAAAAAATCAAGTGAGAAAAGAGTTTAAAATATTTGATTTTTCTCGTTTAGTAACAATTGAGAGTGCTATGTCTGAATTTTCATCAATAAATTAAAAGCCCTATAATGATTAATGAATTTGAGACCAGCTTATCTAACAACTGAGAAATCAGTGTTCAATTTTTCTAAAAAGAAAAAATAGCTATCCATATAAAAATCTGCTCCATAACAGCAGCACCTTATATTGACTTAGTGTTTTATAATTTTCAAAGTGCTTTCATGTATATTATCTTATTCAGACTAATGTCAACACAGGGTCTCAAAACTTAGGCACTAAAAGTATTTGTTTGGTGATGAAGAACATGGTCAAAATCAAATCATTATCTTGATAAAGACTGTATATAACAGTAATAAAATTAGTCTGACATTTAATTAGTTCTTCTTTAATGGCTAGTCAAACTCTTGCTACAATTTAAGTCCATTTTTGAGTCTTTTCCAGGGGGATAAAGATAGTTGTCTAGTACTAGACTCACAGTAACTCTTCATGTAGATTACTGATATAACTTCTTATACCTTTTTCCTCTTCTTAAGATAAACGATTTCATTTATTTTCCTCCTCGGCACTCTAATGTCTATGCCTCTCAAATAAACTTTTATTATCTCTGGATACTTTGCCCTAAAATGTGAAAATCAAAACCAAACAACACTCTAATACAGTTCTGCATAATGCTAATCACTCTGTAGCAAAGAGATGACTTGCTGTCTTTCTCACACATGGGTGGCAATATTCACAGCAGAGCACATGAAAGAACCCATGCCTGCTATAATTAGCTAATTAAAATAAATACAGTAATCCCCTGCTTCTGAAATATGCCAGCTAATTATTCAAGAATTGTCACTTAATATAAACAGTCAGTTATTCAAATAATCAGCTATGTGTTTACAATATCAACTCCAATAAGCAAACACATGCATTATTTCTCATTTAGTGGTAAGGAAGGGTACCACTTACCCCGCTGATTTACAGCTCCTCCGGCCTTTCAGGGCCCGTATTAACAATTGGAAAGTTAATTTAGTGTTAAATAAACTCTGCCAGTCGATTCCTCACTTGCTGCTCCAGCTACTGCTCACTCACCTGTGCGATCTGTATGGGCTGAGACAGGGGGATCTGCGTCATGGGCGTGGCGGCGGAGGCTGAGATGGTGGCCCCGGCAGCGCTGTGCTGCTGGCTGGCGGAATGTTGCTGCACCGCAGCAGCCAGCAGCTGTGCCTGTGCCTGTGCCTGCTGGAGTAACAGCTGCTGCTGGGCTGGCGTCAAAGTCAGCTAAACAAAATCAGAACACATAATGGGAAAGGGCTGAAGGAGAAGGGCCCCTAATTCAAGCTAACTGCTTTGAAACAGGTAACTCAAGTGGTATTAGTCCCTAGCTACCCTACTTCATGTGGTTAGCATGCGGCTAAGATGTTCATCAGCGAAATTAGCACTACTAGCAGAACATTTAAATTAAAATGGCAGTCCTTGCTCTGGATTTAAACAATCATTCAAGCTTGTCCAGGGCCCTAGGGTTCAGGCAAAAAAGTAATTAACTAGTAAGCAAGAAAAAAAAGAATCAATGCTGACAGGATATGAAAAGAAATTTACACCCAGCAAAACAGCAAGTGATTAGTCAGATGAATGAAGAACAAGGATGCTGGATATGAAGGAGGGAAGAACTGATAAGGCCCAGCTGCTTCCCATTAGCACGAATCCCTGCCATATTCCATCATTTCCATTATGTCCTAAGATATGACTAAAGAATATGAGCTCCATTTGCTTCTTTTCCAACTCTCCCTACAGGCCCCTCCCCAACATAATCTTTTCTGTTATTGAAAGCATTGAGTCTCTGCAACTTTACACCCCCTTTCCAACACATTATCTCTATGAAACAGGTGGTGACAGCCGCTCTCTTTATATGCAAATGAATCCTAATGCCCCGGTTTAATAGAAGCTCCAGCCAAAGCAACCTGGAATCCCAAGTGACCCTTCCTATTGCAGACTCCAGTCACCAAAAACAAGACCCAAATATTAAAATAGGAAATGTATTTAGAGCAGATTTAAACTTTGCTTTCATAAGGCAACTTATTTGAAACACGCCTAAATCGAAGTAGTAAGGGTGCTCTACTTTCCTTTCGGTGGTATGTTCTGATCAGCTGAGAAGCAACCACGTACTATGCCGAAGTGCATACACGGTCTCTTAGCGGTACAACCCTCCTTCTAAAAGGGTCCAACACAACTTGCGCAGTAGAAACGTAAGACTTGAAATCAATCAAAAACTCAATACCCATAAAGAGATATGTATGTATATATAGTATATATATTTATATTTTTATAATATATATACATATATTAATCTCTACTGATGGCATTTTTGTAACCAATTTTCCAACAGTTCTTAAAGGGGCCTTCCCCTGCCAAAACACACTTAATGGAAATGAAGAAGACAGAAAATTCTGGGGGTTGATGTGATGTGAATTGAAAATTCTTCCTCATAATTCCCCTAACCACCCCCCAAGATAACCTAAAACACAATTTTCAACATTGGAAAAATAATCTAAATGGTGCCTAAGAGGAAAGGCAGCTGAAAAGTTAAAAGCTTAATATATTTGCATAGACCAATTCATAAACAATAAAAATAAATGACATTTATTGCTTCTCGCCTTTTGGCTAAGATCAAGTGTAAAAATAAATGACATTTATCGAATGCCACATGCCAAGCACTATTCTTTGAGCTTTACATATATTATTTCTAATCTTTAAAACAGTACTGTGAGATAGGTATTATTAGTATCTCCATTTAACAGAAGGAAAACTGAGGTACAGGGAAATGAAGTAATTAGCCCATAGGGTAAGCTACAGAGTCAGGACATGAGACATGTTTTATTTGAGAACATTACACAGTAGTAACTTAAAGAAAATGTTTTTCTTTGTAAGTACTAATCCATTCTTTAACTTTGACCTTGCAGTGATGTCATAATGCCAAACTAACAACTGCCATTTATTTCATCAATGTAATGGTCTCAACTATACAATAGTGATTCTATTGCACAATGAAGCAACACCTGAAACACGGATGTTAAAAAGTACTTAGTTTATCCAGAGCATCTCCAATTGTAACAAAAGATATCCAGAGAACTTATGACAAAGATAATTCCTTTTTCAGAGCTGCCTACAGTATAGAAAGTTCCTTGAAGACACAATAGTGCCAGGCATAGCCATGTTACTGCCAGCTGTGGTGAACAGTTCCAGTCAGATATTGGCCAATGGCAGTTTTGACATAGAGAAAGTTTATTACAATTCTCTCAGTGAAAACTTACCCCGGTTATCTGTCCTCCAGCCAGCATGAGCTGGGTCTGGGGAATGGCTGCCTGCACTGAAGGCTGCTGGGAAGGCTGACTTGGCTGCTGGGAATCCCCCGATTCTTCATTAGATTTAGACTGAGGTGGGTGGGGTAGAAGTAAAAGATTTCAAATAGTTGATTAACAGAATTGTACTTATAATCTCATAATTGAAGAATCATTTAATACATAAGACTTTTTCTGTCCTAAGTTTTCTGGTTTCCCTCTTTTCCTTTCTTATAAATCTTTGAATCATGTTAGTTTTACATACTAACTTTTTAGACTTTTTATTTCAATGCCAGCAAAGCTGCAATTATAATGTTTAAAAAGAAAAATATTAGTCAGCCCTGCACATAGCAACAGGATTTTTCACAACCCCAAATAAGGAGTAAAGGGAAGAATACATTTTCAATCCATCTCTGTATTAGAGCCCCCATATCAACATTGTGACATATACCCGGTGTCAGTCTCAATCTTCATACACCATCTTTAAGATGATTACTTGTCCCACAGAACTTTTCACCTAATATTTTAAAGAACGGTAAATCTAGCATCTCCCATCAGTAACGTACAAGCTTAGAGGGAAAATGCTGCAGTCAAGAAAGAAAGCGAACACACTCGTAAAAGGGGCCCGAAGAGAAAATTTTATGGTAATCAAAACTGGTTATGTAGAGCATTAAAATTCTGCATAGATTTGCATATTTCCCACCACCTGTTTTGGGGACTGCAGCAAGGCTAATTAACATAAAAGCTCTGATTAATTCTGCCAGTCATTGAGAGATAATTACAGCGCAGGACTGTAAACATTCTGCACTGGAGATACAGCCTGTTTGCCAACATCTCTCTAAAGGATGAAAGTTTACCATGGCAACCAAGGCAATTTTCTGCCTCCTCTCCCTCAGAAAGGAAGGTCATATTATCTCCTTTTCTTTTCTCTCCTTGTTCCTATGTGTTACTAGGTCCGTATTCCACTGAGTTTCATAGAATGCTCAACCCAAGGTCTTTAGTCATTAGCAAGACTGAAATCAATCTTCCAGAATACTGTTTTTCCCTCTTGACTGTTAGTTACCTGAACACTATAATGAAAGGCAGTAGCAGGTTGACTTAAATGCTATGGAGTGACACCTAATATTTGAACTCTGCACGCTTTGCCATGTGGTTCATAGAAGCAAAGTTGCCAGATCTAAGTTTTGTTATAAAATTTTGACTATCTACTCACCAATGTCTATAAACAGGTTTAATTACAACTCTTAGAAGTATAACATTTTAGAGCAGAGAGGAACCCTAGCAATCTTATAAATGTCCCCACTTAAATGCAGGGAAGAAAAACTGAGCCCCAGGAGGTTAAGTGACTTGGGAAAGGTCACACAGCTACTCAGAGGCAGAATCGGAATTCAAACCCAAGACCCTTGTGTCTCTCAGTGCAGTGTTCTTTCCTCTGTACTATAATGCCTCTCTAAGACATGAAAAATGATAAAATAAAAAGACCTTTGGAAACAAAAGGAATTCAAGAGATTAGTCTTTGTGTTTAGTTAGGTATGAGTTTTAGCTTACATAACTTAGAAACATGTTTACTGAACTTACATATAAAACTTTGAAAGTAGGCTTTTCCTGTCCACCTTTGGTTCATGGCAATAATTATTATTTGGATCTTTATGAGATTCAGTAATTTCAAAAAGGTAGTACTTTTAAGTACTTCCTATTACAAAACTATATGCTCATCATAGACAACAGAAAAATATGGAAAAATAAAGAGAAAATTGACCCATAATCCCATGTCCCAACTTACCTGTACATTTAAAGACTGAGCAGCGGCCTGTAAACTTGTTCCAGCGAGCTGGACCTATAAGTAAAGTAATCAGGGGAAGTTCTAGTCTAATACAGTTGACATTCATCACTAGAGGTTGTCACCAACAAATATTTCAAGAGTTTCTACTAAGTGTATGTCACTGAGCTAGAACTGGGAATACAAAGAAGTCTGCTTAGGGGGTTAAACTTTACGGACAAGCTCTGTTCCTCTAAAACCCATCCCCATCCCCTGCTGGCCCCAGTGAAAAATGATGTTATCTTTTCTGAAGATGTTTTCCCATACTAAACGAGCATCATTAGGCATGCCACACTTTTACGGGATGTTCCTTTTATGACATTCTGTTTGTACTCACAGGATGCTTAAATCCTAAAAATTTAATTCATCTTCCACATTGTGTTCACAGGTAAGAACAAGGTACCTACATACATTATTTTTACCATTATAAACAATCTAGAACTATCTGCTTATTCTAATTTCAAAATTTCTATTTATACACTAGAGTGGAAATCTTACATATATACATACCTACAGGCAAGTCCTTAAAACATTCATAGTCGTAACTTAAAACTCCTAGCTAAAATAAAGACTCTGTCACATAAACCAGCCATGCCCAACCTTTTTGGCACCAGGGACCATTTTCTTGGAAGACAATTTTTCCATGGGCCTGAGGGTGGGGGTGGTTTCGGGATGATTCAAGTGCATTACATTTACTGTGCACTTTATTTCTATTATTATTATTGTTGTTGCTATATATAATGAAATAATTATACAACTCGCTATAGGCTGGGGACCCCTGATATAAACCTTGGTCCCCAACTCCCAGGCCTGGTATAGGTCTGTGGCCTGTTAGGAAGCAGGCTGCACAGCAGGAGGTGAGCCACAGGTGAGCAAGCGAAGCTTCATCTGTATTTACAGCCTCTCCCCATTGCTCCCATTACTGCATAAGCTCCACCTCCTGTCAGATCAGCCACAGCATTAGATTCTCACAGGAGCCTGAACCCTACCATAAACTGCGCATAAGAGGGATCTCGGTTGTGCGCGCCTTATGAGAATCTAACACCTGATGATCTGAGGTGGAGCTGAGGTGGTGACGCTAGCGCTGGGAGCAGCTGCAAACACAGATTATCATTAGCAGAGAGGTTTGACTGTACAATAAATGCAATGCGCTTGAATCATCCCGAAATCATCCCTTGCTGTCTGTGGAAAAATTGTCTTCCATGAAACTGGTCCCCAGTGCCAAAAAGGTTGGGGACCGCTGGTATAAACCACACATGAAAGTCTGTCATAGTATTTAATAACAGGATATTTACATAGTCTCATCTCTCTTTCCACAGATACTTATTAATTATAAAGGCATAATAGTAACTTTATAGTGGAGAAATCTGGCAGACAAGTGATGAAGTGACCACAGACAGAGTGCCCAGGAATGAGACGTATGCCTTCTGCTATAATGCACTGAGATGAATATACAATAGCATTGCTTATGTTGTTAGAACTTGAATCCAATAATGACTGAACATCAAACTCAAATTGAAGAACACCACAAAATAACTGGTTTGTATTCTTCAAAAAGGTCAATGTCCTGAAAACAAGGAAAGACTCAGAAGGGAGAAAGAGGACATAAACTATGCTAGAATAAACAGAAGCCTAAACTAGAATGGTGGCAGTGGGAATAAAAAAGTAGGAAACATGAAAGGTGTTACAAGGTACTACATAAGGATCCTGGCAACTGATTAGATACAGATGAAAAAAGAGTCATGAATTAGTCTAGGGTTCAAATCTGGGAGACTAGAAAACGGCAGTGTCATTAACATGGACAGAGAAGATAAGGAGTTCCATTTTGGATATATATCACACAGCATCAAGATGTCCTGCATTTAGATATAAGTGTTGGGGCTTGGCATGGTAGCTCACGCCTGTAATCCTAGCACTCTGGGAGGCTAAGGCAGGAGGATCGCTTGAGGTCAGGAGTTCAGAGACCAGCCTGAGCAAGAAAGAGTGAGACTTCGTCTCTACTAGAACTAGAAAAAATTAGCCAGGTGTGGTGGCACACACCTGTGGTCCCAGGTACTCAGGAGGCTTGAGCCCAGGAGTCTGAGGTGGCAGTGAGCTATGATGACACTGCTCTACTCTAGCCAGGGCAACAGAGCGAGACTCTATGGGGAGGGGAGAGGAGGGGAGAGGAGAGGAGAGGAGAGGATAGGATAATTCTGCCAGTGGATAACCCTTAAAAACAAACAAAAAACAAAATTCAGAGATTAATGAAGAACACATTTTAGATACGGTGTAACCAGGACAGGCCTATCTGAAGAGGTAAGACCTGAAAGCTAAAAAGTCATCTGCCAAAGAGCCAGAGGAAAGAGTTTCAGGTACAAAGATTTGAAGGAGATAAAGTTTTTATGTGACTTTATTTAAATCATTATGTTCCTGGATAAAAGCGTGTTGAGGAACAGGGTTATTTGCATAGTCTTTAAAGTAGTGCCTCACAGATTATTAATTACAAGGAGGAAAAAAGATACCTTTATAGTGGACAAATCTGATAAACTCTACCTTAATCAAATGGTCAAACTTAATATCACAATAATGGGACAAGGCAATATCCTATGCCTTCTGATATAATCCACTGAGAGGGACTTAATATCACTTCTGTTGTATTCCTTTCAAAAACACATAACTTGAATACAATCATGAGGGAACAATCCAATCCAAATTGGGAGGCATTCTATAAAATCACTGGCCTCTATGCTTAAAAAACATCAATATCATGAAAGACAAAAAGGCTGAGAAATTGTTCTGGATTAAAGAAAACTAAGCAGACATGACAACTAAATGCAAGGTATGGATCAGATCATGGACAGGAAATATTTAAGTATGGATCACATATTACAAAATCATACTGTATCAAGGCTAAATTTCTAGAATGTGAAGTTGGTACTGTAGTTTTATACAAGAATGTTGTTTTTAGGAAAAACATGCTGAACTATTTAGAAGTAAGCAGTTATAAGGTATGCACCACTCTTAAATAATTTAGAAAAACAAGAGTTTGGTATGCATACACACACACACAGATAAAGCAAATATAGTAAAATAGTAATAACTGGTGACTTAGGCGAAGGGCTTTTAGATGAACACTATTCTATTGTAACTCTTTTGTAGATTTCAAAGTTTTCAGAGTAGAAAGTTAGAAATAAAAAAATGAGAGTATCCCTTTACCACTCCATTTAGCTAGTTTCCAACATCTTTCAAGACTCAGCTCAAAAATCACCCTCTGTATGTCTTAAGTTGTACAGGTTGAGCTAATCATTTCTTCCTGTGTATTCCCATATACTTTACAATTCATTAATCTATTAATTTATTCCACAAATAATTACTGAACACTTATATCTGGGGCTCTTTGGTAAATGCTGGGGATACAGGCAAACAAGAAAAGGTTCCCATCTTCATGGAACTTACAGTTAATGTGGTAACAGATCTAAAATAACTGATTTTGTATATGTATGTTATAATTATGGTAAGGAAAGGTTCAGGGTGCTAACCTTGACAGCAGATAAGTGTCACACTGTACGTTAATTATGTATCTAATCTGATGATAAACAATTACGCAGGGAGTTGTGCTTTCATAGGGAATTCAATGGTGTCAAGGTTTCAAATGAAATTCTTTGGTTTGGGTGGTACTGAAGGATTTATGATTTTGGTAATCAGTGACTAGATCTGGAAGCCTTGGAGTTGGTGCAAGAGTTGCAATCATCTTGGAATTTGGACGTAATGGGGAGAAGACTGCATATCATCTATGCAACTCCAGGAATTTTTTTTATAACTTTGGACTACTACATATTTAAGCCAGATAAAGATGCTTACATAAAGGTGCCACATAACTGACTAAACTTCATCAAAAATCCTATTCCTCTTAGGAAACTGGAAACCTTGTTGGAGGCTTGACTATGTTCTTAGAAGAAAATCAACAAGAAAACATTTTTGTTTTTCTAGAATATATTTGAAATATATTCTTAAATTCATTTTAGATATTAATCTTAATATTTTATCTAGAAGGTATATGTAGAGGTTTCTCTATTTCGAAGATATAAACAAAGCTATATGCCTGAGTAAAGTGTCAACTAGGCCTCACTCATAGCAGAAGATGCTAATTGCTGTCTACAAGATATCCCTTTGGTTTGAGAACAAATAAAAGGGCTATAGAATACCTTCCTAGAATTTCACCTGTTTTCAAGTAAAGGAGCTTCTTTTATAGTTCAGGTACACTGATAACACATTTTAATGAAAAGACTTGAGCTGTAAGATCTATATTTCAGTTCCCATTCACTTAATAGGTTAATATGTAACCTGAAAGTTTAAATGTCCACATGGATTTTTCACTGAATCACCACCACCACTACTACTACCATTATGCACCACTGCTAGCATTGCTACTACCAACATATTTTAAATGTTGAATTAGTTCTAGGTTTTAATTGAGGTAGAGACCACCAAGATGTGCAAAGTGTTGCTCTAATACATAACTGTAAACATAATCCAAGAGGTTGAGACACTCTGATAATCCATTTTCCAACTGTTTTCACTGTTTGTTTTCCATTTTCAACTAACTCCCACATATCAAAACTACTGGGTAGCCAATGTCTGCTTTTGTATTTCCTTTCTCCTTCTCTACGTTATAGCTAAAACATGGATGAATAGAATCCATGGCGTGTTTTAGACTCAGGAAAAAAAAAATCATGTGATATAAGGGTAATAAAGTTGAAGCAGATCTTTTCAAACCCCAAACCAGGGGGGATTCACAGTCAAGCAAAAGGCTCAGTATTGATAAAAATTAAAATGGTCTGGAACTATTTTAAAGGAGAGATATGAGCTTTGAGGTCAGAGTCTTAACACTGCAGGTTTCAGGCAATGGTAGCTACATCATTTTGGATGACTCTGATAATTAACTACGTTCAGTTAGCCACCACGGACTTATGCTGATAAAAACAGTAACTCAGTTGTTATACACAGTCCATTTATAACAAGGAATTCTTTCCTCCATCCAGCTGTGGTGGTCAATGCTATGTAGTCAACTGAACTACAGGATTCCATACTAACTATTCGGAATGGTACAATTAGATGTGATTAACACTAGGCTTTAGATAATTTTAAAAGTCTCACATTCTGAAATAACTTCCCCAGGTCCTAGCATTTTATGCCTCCATCTTTTACTCTCACTTATGGTTGAGCAGAACATTTTACCTGGTGGAGATGTCCAAGGAAAGCTTGGGCCTGGGCTGTTGAGATTGCTCCTCCGACAGGCACAGGCTGCTTCTGAAAGTCCAGACCATTGGTTTGTGTGCCTAGAAAGCAAGCAAAATTAATTGTAACTATTAAAAGAAAGAAACTCAAACACTACCAACATTCACAAGACATCTATTTTGTATCAGGCTTTTTCTAAGTAAACTTCCTAGGAGGAGAAGAGATTCAAACTAAGGAAATATAGTAATAAATATAATAAATTACAATCAAAAGATAATGTGAGAGAATTCAGATGTGAATGCAGTGACTGGAGCAACTGTGGTAGGAACAGTCAGGAAACTTAAGGTGGCTTTACCAAAGAGACCACTACCACTCTCGTAAAGAATGGTAGAGACAGAGTTCCAAAGAGATGTCTTGGCTCTTTCTTAAATTTTCGCCCTACTCGACATTTAGCTCCGACACAGAAGAAATTCACTAGTGACTTTGCCAAGAACAAGAAGGATTTATTATTAACTTAAGCACTTTAACAAATAACAATCTGATGGCAAAAGCAACTCTTTACAAAGCATAAGGAAAACAAAACAGTTGCACTAATTTCTTTAATCCCAAAGTATACACTGCTGCATATATCTCATTAGCAAGGGCTCTGCTATAATTATATATTTTTAAATGTTGTTCCAGTGTTTTTTTACCACTTATGCTGGGATTTGATGTTGGAATACAATTAATTTATAGAACGATATGCCACCCTAAGACCCAGAAATATTTTCTAAGGAATATAATACATTATTTCTGAATTACTACACCCAGTTATTATTTAGAAAAAGCCAGAATACTTTGTACTAAATAAAATATGACAGACATGTTCCTGTGGGAACATGTAAGAATCACCTTGGGCCCGTGGATATAGTCCTACATTTCTATTTCCTACCATTTGAACACCCTATCCTTACATCTATGTGTGCGCACATCAAGAGCAGACCAGTTAGGAGAGTACAAGTTAGAATCTTAAAGCAGTATTTCTAAGAGAGTGCTAACTTCTGCCATTATATATCTTAATTTCTGGCAAATACATCACTTAAGTGAGAATAATTTGGTATATCCCATGACCCAAAAGGGCTATTTGTTTCCTTGAGACAATTACAAAAGACGTATAAATATTTCACTTCCTTAAAAACTCATGGACACTGTTTTTTATATTTTTTCCTAAAGTCTTCCACAAACAGGAAACTATAGAACTACCTAGACATATACAATTAACAAAATTAAAAGAGTGCATGCATGTGTCAAGTAATTTGAAACTAGCATGAAAGTAAAATTTAAATAAATTAAATTTAAAATCACTCCCATAAACCACACATAGAAGTTTCACTATTTTAACATTGTGTACTTTGTCATTAGTTACAGGAAATCATTACCCATGTAATAAAGGTATGGTGTTTGTACTGTAAATGCTTTTAAATTTTTTATATTTTGACATCTTAAAAAACCTTTCTGGCTGGAGAGAGACTGCCCCTTCCAGGCCTACTCCATTCTTAGAGATGGCAAAGGCTCCCCCAGGAGTATGTCTTTGACATGAAACTAACTAATCCAGAGCCATACTTCCTCAATCAGACTTTGGATGCAATACTCTTCTGCCTTAATCATCCCAGTGCCAGGTACCAGGCAACTAGAGACCACCCTGATAGCCCAAAGCCCTCCAAAATTACTCAAACTAGCCAATCCTAAATTGTTTACCTTGCCGTTCCTTGCCTTTCCCACAGAAATCCCAATAAAGGGAGTGGCCTAAACCTTCTCCTCCCTCTTATCTTCTGCCTCCTGACTACTGTGATATCTTCCCCATGTGGCCCTATGTGCCTCCTGTCTTAGGATCCGTGAGTACAACAAACTTTGTTTTCCTGAGGTTCTCTTGTGTTGCCTCTTGTGGTTCCACCTGACTAACCAGCTTATAAAAGAATATAAAACAGGATTCAACGACAATAAGGTAAAAAGAACACTCTTAGACAAAAACTCAAAGAAGAGATTTAAGATGCAAAGACAGCTAACTTTTAATAAGGTGACTGAGGCTCCATCGGAAGATGAAGGGTAGAAGTTAGTAGGCATTACACAAAAATTATTCTTGTAAAACATAAAAGACTTAACTTGGCCTAAAAAGGAAGGAGAGGGGAATGGATACACACACCTACGCCAATTGGAATTGGGTATGAGGAGACAGGGATAGTGGGAACCAAAAGCAAATAAAATTTGGTTTTAGTGCCTGGGAGAACAGACGCACCAAAATAAAGAACAGGGGGAATTAACACATTGGGGCAGGTGAATCAAGTAAAAAGATTAATATAAGATATACAGTTTGAGAAACCCTGACAAAACATCTAAAAAAAAAAAAGTGGTCTAGAAGGCACTTAGAACAGAGGCTAGAGCTAAAGGTTGTATAAGGTTGTCACTGGAATAGTATTACTGAGCTTTATCACAGATGAGGATCTTGTATCCAAAGCTCCAAGGAATCTTAAGCGAATCGTTCAAGATGTCACAGCTAGTTAGTGAAGAGTCAGGTTACAAGGACTGGGTCCCTTGATTCTGCCTACTAACTCACAGAAAAGTGATAGTTGAAATTAGGAGAGCAAAATGCATATCACTTAAGAATGGATATTGAGAAAAGCAGGTTGAAGACAAGGGAGCACCCACATTAGGAAATGTAAAGACAAAAGAGAGATAGAAGGAGCAGTTAGAAAAGTAGGGAAAAACCCTCCAGACTAATGTGTTTCAAGAGCCAGGGGAAAGAAAGCTACAAGGATAGGGCAGTTTAATACTGTTAAATGGTAAAGAGATATTAAGGATCAGAGCTCTGAGAAAGAAATTAATCCAAAGAAAATAGAGGAAAGGTAATAATAAAGGTAAGATCAATAATTAACAAAACAGAAAAAACCCATACACAACAGAAACACCAACTCGGATTTTCCAAAGAATCATAGCCCTTACAAACTTCTGGTAAAATAAAGTAAGAAAATAAGAGAAGGAGTAAGTAAATAACTTAAGTGTAACAAAAAAGGCATAATTAAAAAATGCTGCTTATAAAAAAATTAAGAGGATACTACGACCCACTTCATGTCAATATACTTAAAATTTAGAAATGGATAACTCTCTGGAAAATATAACTTATGAAGACTGATTCAAGAAGAAATAGAAAATCTAAAGTCCCATAGCATTTAAGGAAATTGAATTAGCAGGTAAAAAATCTTCTCCAAAAAAGAATACCTACAACCGCTGATTTTTGACAAGGCAGACAAAAACATACACCAGGGAAAGGGTGCCCCATTCAATAAATGGTGCTGGGAAAATTGGACAGCCACACGCAGAAGAATGTGACCCCTATCTCTCACTATATACAAAAATTAAGATGAATTAAAGACTCAAATGTAAGACCTGAAACCATAAAAATTCTAGGAGAAAATGTAGTAAAACTCTTCTGAACAAGAATTTTTCACTAAGATCCCCAAAAGCAAATACAGCAACAACAAAAATAAATAGATGGGAATTAATTAAACTAAAAAGTTTCTGCACAGCAAAGGAAAAAAATCAACAAACAGACAACCTACAGCATGGGAGAAAACATTCACAAACTACACATCTGACAAAGGACTAATATCCAGAATCTATAAAGAACTCAAATAAATCAGCATGAAAAAGTAACAAATAACCCCATCAAAAAGGAGATGAAAGATATGAATAGATTTTTCCAAAAAAGATAAATAAATGGCCAAAGAACATGAAATTTGCTCAACATTACTAATCATCAGGGAAGCTGCAAATTAAAACCACAATGAGATACCACCTTACCCCTGTCAGAATGGCCATTATTAAAAAGTCAAAAAACAATAGATGTTGATGTGATTTAGTGAAAAGGAAATGTTTATTATTCACTGTTTGTGGGAATGTAAACTAGTACAACCTCTATGGAAAACAGTAAGGAGATTCCTCAGAGAGCTAAAGTAGACCTACCATTCCATCCAGCAATCCCACTACTGGGTATCTACCCAAAGGGAAAGAAGTCAATTTATTAAAAAAAAGACATCTACACCCAGATGTTTATTGCAGTGTAATTCACAATGGCAAAAATATGGAATCAACCTAAGTGCCCATCAACTAATGAGTGGATAAAGAAAGTATGGTGTACATACACACACACACACACTCTCTCTCTCCCACCCCATGGAGTACTACTCAGCCATAAAAAGGAATGAAATAATATCTTTTCCAGCAACTTGAACTGAAGACCATTATTATAAGTGAAGTAACTCAGGAATGGAAAAACAAATACTACATGTTCTCACTAATAAGTGGGAGCTAAATGAGGGGTATATATGGTCATAAAATGGTGTAATGGACATTGAAAACTAAGAAGGGATAAGAGTGGAGTGAAGGATAAAAATCTACCTATCAGGTATAATGTACACTATTCTGGTGATGGGCACACTAAAAGCCATGACTTCAGCATTACACAATTCATCCATGTAACAAAAAACACTTGTACCCTAAATCTATTGAAATTTTAAAAAAAGAATACAAAGTCCTAACAAATTTTCCCAATGGTGCTTCCAAAAATTCAAGGAAGAAATAATTACAATCTTTCACAATTTTTTTTTTTTTTTTTTTTTTTGAGACAGAGTCTCACTCTATTGCCTGGAGTAGAGTGCCATGGCGTCAGCCTAGCTCACAGCAACCTCAAACTCCTGGGCTCGAGCAATCCTACTGCTTCAGCCTCCCAAGTAGCTGGGACTATAGACATGTGCCACCATGCCCGGCTAATTTTTTTCTACATAGATTTTTAGTTGTCCAAATAATTTCTTTCTATTTTTAGTAGAGATGGGGGTCTCGCTCTTGCTCAGGCTGGTCTCGAACTCCTGACCTTGAGCGATCCACCCGCCTCGGCCTCCCAGAGTGCTAGGATTACAGGCGTGAGCCACCGCGCCTGGCCAATCTTTCACAAATTCTTCCAGAGAACAACAACAAAACCAGGGAACACTTCCTAACTCATTTTATGAGAACAGCATAACCTCAATTCCATAACCTGACAAAGCTAAGTATGAGAAAGGAAAAAAAT